TTTTTTGTTTCATACCGCTTACTTTTTGATTCGGTAATGGCGTCTATTGCTTATTTTGTTTTATACATTGCTTATGTACAAGTCTATGCCTCTCTATTGCTCTTTATTGTTTTCTGCACATGTTGAAGATAATCCGAACTAGAGTGCCAAAGATCTTTAGCACACTTTGAACTGCTAGTACGAATATTTTCACAATAGTAACTAGTACTACCGGTCCTAGGCAGTAAGCTAACAGGGTGATAATGACTGCTGAGCTCACCGCTGCCAGAGTTAGTTTCCAGTGTTGCGCAATTATTTTCATATGTGGCTTAAGATCTTTTGATATCGCTAAACCAATCCAGTTTTTGATGCCATGTGAAGTCCTCATTATTTTCAAACGAAGCCGCCTTCAAGTGTTTGGGCATGTATTCGAGATGGCCTGCGAGATCAAATTCGACCTGTTGTCCCTTACATGTCGCTGTGCATTTTTCCTCAACGATAGCTTGATCGTAATCCAAGACAATTTTCGATTGCATACTTTTTGCACCACATTCGACTGGAAAAGTGTGCGCACCGCATTTTATTGTCAGCCACGCGTCGATTTCGGTTAGACATGATATGAATATAGTTGCACCTTCTTGGCAGTCGTAACATCCTGTCACATTGGTGACTGAGACTTTGCATTCCTGATCTAAAGTGTAATGCCCCGAGTCTAGAAGCAGTTTTGATTCAATCTTTACCGTAACCTCCGCTTCCTGTGTAGTTGTAACGATACTGCTACCATAGACAAATGTTTCGGAGAATGGCGTTATTGTAGGCAGCTTGTTTGATTGATCTGCTTCGATGTCCCAAATATTCTCATTAGGGCAATCACATCGAGTTGGAGGGCTTGTTCCTATGCATGCGCATATCATACGATTTGCACAAGATTTAAAGTTTGATAATGCTGTAGTTGCGGATGGACATTCAACTAGTAGTTTACAGCCTTCGGGAATTGATAAGGCGTTAGTTTCAGAGACAGCGAAGCGTCTGTGGAGTATGGGGAGCGCTGGTTTATGCACCGATATGGCTGTGAACTCGATTTCTTCAAACTTTTGTGTGACATAGGGTAGCAGTATCAGCTGTTTAGATACTACCCTGTTGAAAAGCGTAAGCTGCAAAGAAATGTTGACGCTGGGTTTCCATTCTAAGCAATCCATGACTTCGTATACGTCCGTGTTGCGTGGTACGTGTGCCACTCTATAGAACGAGCACGCCGGTATCGGGAAGAAACATCCACAAGCTAAGCCACCACAGGATCTTTCACATCCTGAGTATCCCGGATATTTTTCAGAGTATTGGAGCTCCTCTAGTGTTCCATTTGCTCTGAGGTTCGCGCATATTTGTTCGGAGCAGGACCCTGCCTGATGACATCTGACGGCGCTATAAACTCGTGGTCTGCTATCTCTGGTGAAAAACAATGTGCGCTTCGAGCATTCCATTTTTATGGGGTTATTTTTGATATGTAGTGTACCTATAGTTTTGTTGGCGTGGCGTATCTGGACACATAAATTCGCTTGTATTTTGTTGAAGAGTACCTCCCTGCTGAGTTCGTAGGAACATTGATTGTCCCTGCCGCATTCAAGATCTACGTTGTGCCTCATATGTCCGTGCTGACAGGCGTTTGCCACTGTGCTGAGAGTGAGTAAGCTTAGTGTAATGATGTTTGTGTTGAATATGGGTGCCGGTGTGAAATTTCTGAGTGAGAATCTGTTGTCAGTTCTGTAACGAACTTGCTCCTTTTTGCGTTCTGCGCAGCAACGGTACAGGATAAGCGGAATTGTAAGAACGAGATAAATTAATGCTGCTATTGATATTATCGCACCTATAGGCCAGCAGTGCGGATTAGCAATAAGCTTTTTTGATAAAAATACATGGGGATGCTCACATACGGAAGGCATTTTGCATGCTTTAGCAATGTGAACCATGTTCGTTGATGATTTGAATTTCATGGATATGCTAATTTTATTTGCTTGTGACGTGTGCGGTAAACGAAGTAATAGGTCAGAGCTGTTTTTGCATAAGTTTTGCACCTTTCACAAATGCAAAGCTCGAACTGCTCCTTCGGTGAAGTTACATTCACCAATCCATTGAGGCAGTTTAGAGCGCCTTGTGTTGCATTTGCCGCACTTATAATGGTTAGAAAAAGTATGAGTATGAGTGGATATGTTCCCAAACTGATGTATTGGGAGCTCGTGGGGTGTTAGGCTCTTCTAAACTTTCTTATAACTCTTGAATCGCTTGTATAGCTCTTATTCTAGCTTGCCGTGTAGGTCTTGTAGCTGTTACTGGAGCATTCTCTTGTGTTTCCACATTAGCATTGTCGTTGAGTGGTGTGCTTCTGAGCTCTAACGATAGATTTTCGTCGATGTAGAATGTGTCTGTTAGGTAGCTGTAATTTGACAGATCGTACTTGACCGTCCTGGCTTCGCATGAGTTCAACGATCTTGCCGTAGGACCAATTACCACGTGGTATGAAATCTTGCTGTATCAAGACTATTTCACCAACAATGGGGTCTCTCAGGGCGGTATGTCTGGATTGACGGAGTTCGATGCTGTATTTCTCGAAGCATTGTTAGGTACTCGGTATTCCACCTTTCCCAGAATTTATTGGCTACAGTTTCTGAGTATTCCAAAGCTTCTTTCGCTTGTAGCGCAGTTTGAATTAGATCAGGATCGTATGAGTTGTCGCGATCTGCGGATATGCCAACGTTTGGTATGCTGTACGCTAAGTTTCCTTGTAGAAAGTCTACGGGTCTGAGGGGTATCTCTGAGATGTCCGCTGAGGGTAGTTTTGCCAACGGTCTTGTATTGATTACGGCTTCTATGCGCGTGACTGCTGTACAAAGCTGCGTAAATGTGAACTTTTTTCTCCCAAATGCTTTTTGGAGGGCTCTTTTTACTGTACCTGCTAATCTTTCCCATGCTCCTCCCATCCATGGAGCAGCTGGGGGATTGAAAGTCCAGCGGATACCAGTGCTTACGCTATATGTCATGACTGAAGAGCCAGTAGTATCATCACTTTGGAACATGGATTCTAGTATTTGTTGACCCAACCTAAAGTTGGTGCCGCAGTCCGTGCGTATAAGCTTGGGCACTCTACGGGAAACGAATCTCACAAGGCAATCAAGAAATGCTTCGGTAGACATGTTTTCGACAACCTCCAGATGAACTGCACGAGTCGTGAAGCGCGTGTAAAGGCAAACATATATGCGCTCATCGTTTCTATCTAAGATTGGTCCAAAGAAATCGCAGCCTACGTTTTCAAATGGACGTGATCGTTTGACTCTATCTCCTGGAAGAGGAGGCATTGCTGGGGCTCCGAAAGGTAGCCCTTGATATCGTTTGCAAATGGTACAGCTTCTGATGTATTTGTTATAAGCGGCGGATGGGCGGGGTATCCAAAATCGCTGCCTTGCTAAGCACAGCGTCTGATCTTTGCCGCAATGGGCGTTCTTGCAGTGTAGGTCACGGATTATCAACCTAGCCAAGTCAGACTTGGGATTGACGTATATGGGAGATTTTGTGTCAAAATCCATTAGCGCGTTTTGTAAGCGTGAATCATGTCGAATTACTCCATTTTCATCCCTTATTATGGTCTTCTGAGGAAATCTTTTTTGGAGTTCATTCAGTGAAATAGCGCGATGTTCTTGCTGGAAGGTGGTGATTTCACTAAGTTTCATGCGACGCTGTTATATCAGGGTTAACGTCAAACTTGTTAATT